TTGGGGAATTCCATGTTGTTCTGCCTTGTGCATCAGCTCATTTCACTAATTGATCATAAGTAGTTTTCTTCAGCTCTATTACCCCATGAGCTGAGCAATTAGAATTAGTTTTAAAATCAGCAAAAAGTAGAACATTTTCAAGGAGATGGTGGACGCCCTAACCCTAACCCTAACCCATTTGCGTAATTTTGCCTTCAAAACTCGTTCAGTAAGCCATACGTCGCTTTCCCCCAACGTCTACACAATACAAGAAATACTCGCACTACAAATAGCAACTCGTCCAATAAATAACTTCTTGTTTTATTGAAACTTTGTTTCGGTTAGAAGACGAGTGACTAGACAAGTAACGGTAAGAAGTACTACAGTCAACTCTCTCTAAATGCACTCTCTCATTTCAATATGAAAATATTCTCCGTAAATGCACGCACGTGACTCTTGTGCATTAATAGCGTAGTTGATTCAACAAGAAAATACAAAAGAACAAGTGAAAATGACGAATATTCTTGAAAGGAAAGAAAATCTAATATGATGCGACAGATCAGTATTTTATGCAATGATTATTATTATTATGTGAAAAGCCAATAAATTACAATAGAAATATATATTCCGTTATCCCGTGATTTACTAATACAAACTCCCTAAATGCACACTCATTTAGGGAGAGTTGACTGTATATGGTTTAACGTGGCGTGGTAATAGTGATGATCATCATAGTTAAACGTAAATAGTTAAATAAATCATAGTAATAGTAAGTGACAAAAAAAAATTGTACGATGTATGATCGCACGTGACATATTACAGAAATACGCGACACGGTTTTTCGCGTTTCTTAATTTTTAATAATCTCTTGAAGAAACGTTATGACTGAAAACCGAAATTCGTACTTTAAGGATACAGACTGTAATGATTGGGATGTTGTCGGGTTTTACCGAAACTGGATACACAACCACGAAGAGGACAACAGCAAGCTCAATTACCAGAAGGCTAAAGACAGACTTATTAAGTGTCTTGAGGATATTGTTGCTTTATCTCCTTCCGGCAACGAAGTCAGAAAAGCCCAAGATCTTCTGAAAACAGCAAAGGCGAGTATTTACTTGTTTTGACATGGTGTCGCGATAAGATAAAGGTCCCCTTGGGCCGTGGCCACAGCAACCGCGTTGTTAGTTGTGGTTTGGCTTTCTCCATGACAAGGACGTGCATCTGTTTGTTGCACTTCTGATGATCTGTTTGTTCGTTGTGGTCTGCCAATTTCGTTGGTAGAGTGGGGTTCCTTAAATGTGCGTTAGCCATCCATGACTATGGGGACAACTGCATGTTAGTCCTACTTATGATCTGCCTTCAGATCGTCGTGGCTTATTGCTGCACAACTGAATTACACCACACGTCTTCTAATCGCTTCATCAGATTGTCTGAATTTGAAACTTACAAGCTTCTGTTTGTATAGCAAAAACGTAAGGCGGGAAGTACCATCGATGACATATGGAAATCCGTCGAGATCGATGTATACTCGAAAAAGACCGAGTTGGCGAAGGCGAAGCTGAAACATGTTCAGGTAGATGAAATTATTGTGACATGTGTGAGCCTCTACTTCCGTATAATTTAGTATTCAACCTTTTTTTAATGCAAAAAAAAAGATAAGCGGAATGGTACGTGCCGCAAAAGAAAATCAAGATTATGCAAGTACTATGAATAAGGGAGTTTTATTGGACTTGGAGGGAGAGTTTGCTGAGAGGAAGAACAAACGAGTGCTTTTTGAGGTTTGCAATTGATTATTGTTTTAGTTTCAATAGTTGTTATATATATATTAACTGCTTTTTTCCCTTACTCTTGACAAAGTCGAATGAAGTCAATAAATATGCAGAGACTCTAAATAAGAGACCACGTAAACAGTATTCAGTGGAGAAGGTGGATTCAATCGTCTTAATCTGTTTTATACAATGACTGCATTGTTGAATTAAATTTCCTTGTTTTAATACTTCAGGTAAAGGGTTTTTCGGCTGAATATGATGGACAAATATTGGATCCAGAACTCTTTCTCGTAGAGACTGATAAGGAGTATAGTGTTGAGAGGGAGCATCCTTTTGACGACAATGAATGGACTTTAAAGTCTGGCCTGAAATTAGCAGATATTTTAAAAGTGGCGGCAGGCATTAATGGTCATTTGATGAGGTTAGTTATAGCTAATATTGCCAGTTTGCGATCACAACACATTAAATTTTCAACACATTTTAGACCAGAAGTGTGGGGTATAGTCCGTTGTGGACTAAAAGTCGCAAAACCCAAATGGTGTGAAGAAGACGAATACGTTGAAATACAGAAAACTACAAAACCACGTAGCATTGTTAATCCTCCGGAGTTCATCACAAATTTGCTGAAAAATGTACACGTTAAGTTCATTATCATCATTTTGATATATGATTATTCAGTTTCTCAAATTTCTATAAAAATGTGCAATTATAGAAGTCTCTCATGGCTTTAGGAAAGGAACTAAACAAAATTAAAATAAAGGAGTTGATGAAGCTGAATGACGATTTGGAAGAGGCAAACCAACTAATACTAATATCAGCACCGCCGGATGCTATGACATCATTTTTTGTCAAGATACTGTCTCGGTTGTAAGTACAGTACTTATTTTTTTTATTCGCTTCCTTGAAATCCACCCACTGACTAAAATATTTTCAGTCATCAATTTGTTTTTCCACAACAATCTATCATGCAACAAATTGGTGTGTCGGAAGCTTCTTATGGCGCATATATAATGCATCCTTGTTTCATAGAACTTCTTACGGGATTGGAAGACCACTTGTTTTATGAACCGTAAGTTTTTTCACGTGTTATATTGCTATATGATGCGCTGTACAACTAAAATGAGACTTTTTTAGGGGAGAAGTCATCCTATCATCTATCAAATCCTGTTGCGAACGGCGGAAGTGTGAGTCCTTCGAGCAAAAGGCGGATGGTAGATTTCTAGCACGCTTGAAAAGGTCGTGTATCGAGATCGGGCATTTAGAAATGTCGGGGGGCTATGGCCACCGTGAGATTCCACGATCTACGTGGGACGGATGTTGTAAAGGTCCTTTAGGCAATATGTATATGTTCGAGGAGATCGGTGAGAGGTATCGCAAAGCATCACCAAAGTCATTTGCGAACACATATGTCTTTTTCGTGCATACTTATGGTAAATATTATTCGCATTTTTTATTTATTGATATCAAAGTTTATTCATTCTGATTTGTACTTCTAGAAGACAAAATTGAAATTTGGCAAATGCACAACTGTGCTCGAGGAGTTTTACAATGGGAGCGTACGCACAAAGCAATTGTTCCGATCTGCTATGAAGAGCAGAAAAAACATTTTTTTGATTTTGTGATCTTGCTCTGGGATCTAAAGGTATATTTTAGCTGTTTCGGTGATGTTTTTTATTTCTTACTTATTGATATTCTTTTATTCAGGAAGGTTTAATAAATACAGCAAACATGATCAAGCAGTTACAAGATGAGGACAATGATGGTGTATCCAAGTTATCAGGCAGACTTCCTCCGCATCCAGGTAAACCTGACAAAGAACTTCACAAAAAAGGTATAAATAATGTTGAAGTCGAGAGCGATATGTCAAGTTCTCCTATTCGAGAGGACTACTAGTGATGACCTAATGTATAATGGGATATAGTTGGTAGTATTTCATTTAAAAGTTTTAGACTGGTTGGAAAATTAGATTTCAGATCAGATGCGAACTTGAATTACAATTTCCTCTACTGCTTCATTAAAGCATATTGGAATTTATAAAAATGGTAAAAGATATTAAGCGAAGGAATATAATGCTATTTATTATCTTCATTTTCCTTTATCAACTCATTGGCTTGCACTCATCTTGGCGCGTGTCTCTGGCGTAGCGGAGTACCCTCCAACACAGCGCTTTAACTATCGCGAGGAACTTTTATTCACAACGAGGTGCTCGCTAAAGCCCAATTTAAGCTGTTAACACAGCGCTTTAACCGATTGAGCCACATGACTAACCCGAAAGCTCGTGACACGATTGGATTCCTAGCATTGTCCAAGCTGTCCAGCAAACTCGTTCCGCGAATCCTCCCTGATTAAACAAGCGATTGATAAATGGGATTATACTTATATCACTTCGCTCCCTGGCTTTGACAGTCATTTTCCATGAATAGTTTTTCTTTGGTAGAAGTTCCTTGGTGTAAAGGCAGCAATGCCCTTTTCCATGCGTAAATTGCAGATTTGAGCGGCCACTTGTTAGATGAGAAAACAGATTCAATGTTGAATAAAATAATATTGTTTAAAGAACAATCACTTTTAAATTCGTTTGTATTTAATATATGCCGGAAGATATCATAATAATAACTATTATTATACGGAGATCTATGCTTGTCGCGCATTAATATTAGCTGGCAAATCAGATCGTAACGACCCAAATCAAGAATTATTTACTTATTATTATGCTAAATAACAGGCTTGCAGGGCATAAGAGAGGACATTCTCATGTGACAAGGAATAGAAAAAGCCTAATTAATTGTGAATCTAATTTCTACATACTAATACAAGCTTTCATGAGACCAGTAATGATCTTAAACTAAACTTTATGTAGAAATAATAAAATTCGACATTTAACAATTATTACAACGGGGCTTAAAATTTTGTTATTATATCAAAAATATAAAGATATGTTAACATGCAATTAAAGAATGACTGCATGTTCAACTGAATACTAAACAGAATCAATCCCGAACATACGCATAACGAAATTTGATTCCCATCAATATTATTAAAAGCAAGTTCAAAGACAGTAGTAATTTGTACATGAGCGAAATAAGGATACCCACTGTATTAAGATCCTGTAGACTCAATTTTTTTGCTTCGGCAGAAAGAACAATCGATTCTTTTTTTTTTTTTTTTACAAACGCTCGATTGATTCGTAATTCATTGTTCCGTGATGTAAATATTCTTGTGTACGATTGGCTGTCCCATTTTGTCATTTTTTACCTATATTAATATTACCCAAGATGGGAGGGTTCGCGTATTCGAACAAAAACTATTTACGCTCCTGTCCTTTTCGTCCGACATTACTAATCTGTTAATCCACGATGG